CCCCCCCGCCCCGCGTCTAAGCGAGCTGGGCTACTACAGAGACCCAGCTCACTTGAACTGAAACTGGAAAAGGGTGCTTGTAGAAGTTACTCTTGAGTTAAATTCCTGGCAGAAGAAAAGCTACAATTAAGTCAGGATGTAGTACATTTAAGTTGTTAAACTGTGTGCAGCTTAATGGTCTCAAGAGTTTGGCAGCAGGTGCTTAAAATACAGTTCCAGAGTTCATAGCAGAACGACGGTGATGTCAGGTCCCTACTGTCAGGCCTAGTTCTGAGCTAAATCTTGTGTAGAAATTGTTCCTATTCAATTTTGCTATTTTTTACACAGCAGCAAAATGCTTTGGTGTGAAATGAAGAATAAAATACAGGAGTGTAATGAGAGACAGCTAAAGAATAATGTTTTGCTGCTTCTGATGTTGAGTGACTATTGGTATCAGAAGAAACTGGAGTAAATTTGAGGAGAATCTGTAATGAATCTTTAATTGTTGGCATTCGTCTTAATGGGTATTTAAATTCAGCCTTGAGGAACAGGGAGGAAGAGGAGCGGCAAATGGCTTATCCAGATGAATATACAAGGCTAAAAGTAAGGTTGCCAAAAGAAGAAATGACAGCATACACTTTCAGAATAGTAATTTTACCAGTTTGAGTTTAATTTCCTGTAGTTGCTAGCCACATTGAGAAGTGTGAAAGCTGTAGTAATGTCTAAAAAGCACAGTCTTGAAGTAAAAGGTTTGGTAGTTACGTCACGTTCCTCAGTCAGCTGGTGTTTTGGCTTACTAGTACATGTCTGGCTTGCATTAAACAGGAGAAAGTTAAACATGGCCTTTGCTGGAAATAAAACTGACCGTAAGAGTAAAATGTGAAAATAAGGTGCTGTTCTGAATTGTTTCAAATGGTGTGTCTGAATCTTTGAATAGATGAACAGGGACTGACATATTTCAGGTATTTCTTTTTAAGATAATCTGTAAAATGCTAGAAATGCAGTTATGAAACTGATGAAAATAGGTTTTTGTTCACAAACAGTCTGAAAGATTGGAAAAGAAAAATACTTCAAAGGATTATAGTATTGTTTTGAACAATAAATGTTTCTTATATTCAAGGCTTAAAATGTTTGTTGGCAAGGTGACAAAGCTGATGCTTCTGTAAATCAGTGACAGAAGGCAAGATAAACTTAACTCAACATGTCAGCTGTGTATAATGTGGTTTTGATGACATTCAGATGCAAACAGTATGCTATTTAGTATACTGAAGTGTAATAAACTGAAGTGAACAGAAGAGTCTGAGAGACTGCATTCCAGAAGGTGCAGAAGGCAACTTCTTTCAAGTGCAAGACTTAGCAACTGCATTTGTGTTTATGTACTTCGCTTGGCCTCGGGTTAACATGATGTTGTGCCTTTTTTCTTTTTGTAGGCTAGCTTCTCTGAAAGACCAAATGGCCCCTCGTCTGATTTCAGTCCAAGTGTAGGCTCATTCGGTATGTGAAAGACACTTTTGATTTTACTGACATTTGGGGGAGTTGATCCCTTGAGTTTAGGAGATTAAAGAAAGCCACAATATTATCATTGTGATATTTTCATGTGCCCCCCATGGAGCAAGCAACATCAAATTATACGGGTAACATAACGAGTAGACTTCCCTTTTCACCCTCAACCCTTATTTATTTACTGCAGTTACGTGTTGAATACAGCATATAACTTCTAATGAGAGTCAATAGGTGTTACCTCACAAGCATTTCTAAATGAACAGTATTGAAAATAAGTAAGTGTTATATGCAATGTTGAGCAGTTTTAGCGAGGTCCTGTCTGACAGTTGTGTTGAAAACAAGAAAAGGTCAGATGAAGTTGTTGAACAGAAACTTAGATCCATTTTAAAAAAACCCAACAGAAATCACAAGACAAAACATTGATGTTTGTATCAAGTTTCTGTAAAGCAGTCTTGGTTTAATGAAGATGATGCCTTTATAACAGGAGTTTGAGATACAGAAGTTAGAAGAGGCTTAGTTACAGAAGATAAAAGTTTTAAATATGCTAAGCCAGGTTTGCTCCTGAAGGCAGTCTGCCCCAGGCTTTGCTTTGTGTGACTCTACGATAGTCAGATCAGGAAACAGGTTTTGCTTAGAACTGACAGTCTGTGGGATAAGGCAATCGGGGTGTTCTCACTGTAGTCTCTGAACTTAAGAATGGTCTTTAAAACTGCTTGAAGATATTTTAACTTTAGTGAAATTCAGTCTGAGGAAAACATTTTGAGCTTACATCATTTAGTTGATCCAACTGTGGAAGAACAACTTAAACTTTATTTTAACAAATTGTGGTTAGCACAAATTGTGTTGATATCATAGAATCATAGAACAGCTCAGGTTGGAAGGGACCTTGAAAGATAATCTGGTCCAACCTTTCATGGTCAAGGAAGCCTGGATGAGATTATGTAGCACCCTGTCCAATCCCATCTCGAAAATCTCCAGTGATGGGGACTCCACCATGTCCTGGGGAGGTTGTTCCAGTGAATGACTGTTCTCATGGTAAAAAATTTCTTTCTTCTATTGAGATGAAACCTCTCCTAGTGCAACTTGTACCTGTTGCCCTTTGTCTTCTACATGTGGTTCTTTGTGAAGAGAGAGCCTCTGCCCTCTTCGAGTACTGGAATACTGTGATGCAGTCCTCCCTGAGCCTTCTGTTAGGTTTATAACTGCTCATGTGTTTATGAGTAGTTAGAACATGGCAGTATGTTTATTGCTGATGTATCTCTCCCATGCCTTTTAGTGTATAGCTGAAAGGCAGACTTATTTTCTCCAATTCTTTGTCCCCAAGATGTTGGGAAATTAGGAAGGGCTGGAACCAGATACCACTTGTGCTACTTGAATTCCTCTGACTTTGTACTGGTGCCTGGAGCTGTTCCTCCCCAGGTGCAGGATTTTGCATTTCTCTTTGCTGAACTTCAAGATTCTTGCCTGCCCATGTCTCTAGCATGTTTTGAGTTTCCTCTGAGTGAAACACAGCTCTGTGTTATGTCCCGGTTTTGTATGTCTGCAAACTTGCTGCGGGTGCATTGTGTCCCATTTTCCGGGTCATGAATGGAAGATGATAAACTGCGTTGGCCCCAGTATCAATCAGTGGAGTACTCTGCTAGTGATTGGCCTCCTGCTGGAGTTTGCGCTGCTGATCACAACCCTTGAAGCCCAGTGTTTCAGCCTACTTTTGAGTCCTCCTCACTGTCCAGTTACGTAGGCTGTACTTCAGTGGTTTGTATATGAAGATGTTAGGGAAGACAGTGTCAAAAGCCTTACTTTCTTGTTGTTTTCCTTTTCCAGGTGCTGTTGAAAGACCTAACAGAAATCAGCATATGCAGGATCATTTTGCAGGGTATTCTAGGAGTAGAGGTAGGATTGCATGGTTAAAATTTGTAGTTTTGGGGGTAATTAAGCCTTCCTTTTGGACAAAACATTTAGAACGGAGGACCTTGCAACTGGTGTATGAGTAGATTCTGGAAACTCAAATTTTACTGTGTTGGTATCAGTACCGTTGCTGAGTGGTGCTATTCCGTATGAAAAACAGTAGTTACACCTGTCCTAAGCTTTGTAATTTTAATTCACTTTCTTTGTCTTATAAAAGGACACCTTTGTCATGTGGTGTTTTTTTTTGTTGAGTGGGATGTAGGCTGCAGACCTGAGGTCCCTTTCAGCCTGAATGATTCTGTAATTTTACTGTTGAGTTAAAAAAAAAAAACAAACTGAAACAACAAAAAAAAAAACCCCAAACCCACCCAAAACCAAAAGCCTACCCTGAAGTCAAAGATAGTTTTGAATGTTAGGTTGATTCTTTTTTCTAATTACAGATACAGATGAATGTCTGAACAGACAGTGTCAACCAGTGAGTAGATTTGGTAGCAGAAGGAATTCTGCAAACAGAGGTAACTTTCTAGAGTGTCTGTAATTCTAGTGGCTAGTCGTATTTGTTACATTAAATTTTCCCTATTCGGGTATTCAGTTTTGTTGTATCAGAGCCAAATAAGTATTTATGACTTAGAGAGTGATACCAGTCCTTATTTCTGCATAATTATAGGCACTCAGTATCATCCCTTAGTTTTGACTGCACAACATAAAATACCCCACTGTATTTGCCAGGGGGCAGGACTCTGCATTTAAAATCCATGTTTTGTTTACCTCTTGCTTTAATTTCATTCTCCCTGGAGAGGGCTATTTTTCTGATAATTTTGTTGAGTCATAACGTAGTTTAAAAGGCAACTGAATATTAGTATTCACATATATGCCATGTGAGGGAGTATACCACTGCTTTTCTGTGGAAGACCTAAAAGCTTGCTTTCTTTAGTATCCATAAAGCAATATTTAATCCCTGTCCTCTTCCTGCTTATAATGGTGAGTGCCACTCTTGTATGCAGTGCACATTGAAAGAGGTTAGTAATTGGCAGTTTGGCAGTACTGCCGCGTATTGCCGCGTATACTTCCACCAGGTACTATTGGAAGCACATAGGGCAGTGGAAGCCACTATCATGTAGCATCTGTCTAGATAGTTCTGTGTCTCTAAGTGGGACTGCTTATGAAACAAGGAAGATGGAAAATCTAGTCCTGGTTTGGGCATGTTTAGCAAAGGTTCTGACCTGCAGAACAGTTGTGGATCCACTTGAAGTTGTTATGTTTATTCTTTTAATAAATTCTACACCATTTCTGCATCACTTGCATTGGTGCGCGTTATGGTAGGGGAATGTTAGACTTGTTTGACTAAGCAGGCAGCAACATTTGGGTGGTGCTGTGGAGTGATGACGAACAGTTCTGCTGTAGCCTCTCTGGCAATTGCGAAGTAATTTGCAAGCTGTATTTAAGGTTATGTTGGATGTTTGTATTCTAGACTATCTTTTGCATGTGAGTCTTTAAGACTAATTTTTTTTTAATTTGGAAAAACTCAAATGACACATAAATTGGTATGCACCAAGCATTGATGGAGAAGGAGCTACAGGTGCTGTGGTAGGGGAACTTCTTGGTCTCATTTAGCAGAAGATGCTCTTTGTCATCACAAGATGATAGACCAGGTGTTCAGTTGAAGAATGAAGACTAAGGAGTAAATCACGATATAAGTTGACTGCTTGGATCTTAGACAAGACCTAAAACTGTCCAATCTAAAACAAGAAAGACCTTGTTTATGCATGTGGCTGTTTACTTCCTCTCCCACCCCATGAGGAGGGTGACTAGGGAAAGGGATTAGAAATAACCCCTAAAACACTAAATACTTGGCAGTGCCTATCCCAAGCAACTGAATAAGCAATTCTGTGTAATAAAAAAATAGAAATTGATAGATCTGAAAGGCAGGTTTTCAAATCCTCACTCCCTAGGAGGCAGCAGTTGCAATACTACCTCACTCTATAATACTGGTTGTGAAAACTGAGAACGTACAAATGCTCTCAGTTGTCCTGTGACTGAACCAGAGGACTGAGCTGATCTGCATCATAACAGAAGAGTTTAAAGTTAGTAGCTTATATAGTGTATACGCGTGTAAAGTCAAATACTTCAAGACTTAATGTTTGATTTACTTCTTGCAGGAAGCAATACTACAGGAGAGCAGTAGACTCTTCTCATTACACTTCTCGGCAAAAAATATTTCTTCTCTTCATTTTTTCATATGTTTAGGCAAATGGCTTAGTTCTATTGTACTTTTTATCTGAATTGATAAAATAAGGACTGTAAAGAATAATTGCCAAATAAAAGGCGCTTGATCTGCACATGAAAAATTGGGCAAACTAAGTTGTTGTGTGTTGTACTGCAGGTTTTCAAGAAAGGAACATTGTAGAAGATTCTAGTACACAAAATAGAGGTTTTAAAGGATTTCCTGGTGGCTTTGGACGAAGTGAGAGTAAGTTTTTTATATTGACTGGTTTGTGTGGGAACAACATACATTTGGTCATTTTTTCTGGATTTGCTTGCTCCCTAAAAACTACAGGTGTAAAAGTGAAAGCTGTTCTTCAGCCGTGTTGTGGAGCATGGATGGCGTCTTTGAAAAATAGCATCACTGGGAATAATACCGCATAGTTTGAAGTTACAAAGAATCTGTTGGGGCTGTTGCACTGTGGAGTTTTTGGAGTAAATAGAATTAGCTTTAAGTGTAGTATTTCATTATACTCCTTTTAGACGCTATATCCACTACACTGTGTATTACTTACAGGTGTTAAAGATGAGCAAAGAGACAGACCTCAGTCTGGCATTTTTCTTGGCTCTAGAGGAAGAGGAGTATTTGGAGGTCATGCAGGTGAGACTTTTTACTAGGGTGGTGAACCTTTCAGATTTCCTCATTGCTGATTTGTGGCAATGCAATACCTTCTTAGCTTTGCTAAATGCTATCACTGTGATTGTTCTTCCTGCCTGAATTAAGAACCTACTGCAAATGTTAGATAGCTTGCTTGCATGCCCACACAAGACATGTTTGTAACTTGGATAAATTTTAGTAATTGGATTTTCAAAGCTGTTGTCTTCTGTAATTTTTTTCTTGGTCCTACTGCTGCTGGGTCAGTTAATGCACAGTGAAGCAGAGGTGCTAATGCCAAAACTCAAAGCAAGCCTTTAAGAACTTGCTCAGTTTTGAAATAGTCACTGTAGACTTTTTCTACCCCCTCTATAAAGGGAAGTATTATTTTAGGTTTGTCCAGGCTGACAAGTAAGGTTTGTAACTCTGAGAGGCCAGCTCTTCCTGATGACTTTATTCTAATGTTGGGTTTTTTTGTTTTCCTCAGAGGATTTTTCCCTCGTGGTTCTATCTTCCTTTGCCATGGATGCTACTGTAACTTGTAACCTATGTGTTGTGCTACCTAGATCATAGTAACCTATCACTCACAAAAGTTCCGTAATTCAAATTAGAAATACCATGGGTAGTGGATGGCTGATATTCTCAATGCAAGAACACTTTGTGTGATATGATAAAAGAATTTTTCACTGTAGAAAAGATAAGGTGATTAGTATGCGTTTTCAGAAGTGCTTCTTAATATCCAAAGAACAATTCATTTGCCTCTATTTGACTTAGTTCAAATTAAATTTTTCAGATTTTTAGTTCAAATAATGATTTTAGCAACTTAAGTGTTTACGGAGGCAACATGTTAATACTCGTAGTGGACATAACTGCATCCTTAACACAGGATCGTGATTCCTTACTTTTTCATGACCATTGTAAAAAGTATTAATACGTAAAGACTGCTATGGATATTGGTAGGCAACAGTTGCCCTAGTCTGTATAGAGGTTCATGTGGAAAGATAACTCTTCATAAAGAGTAGTTTTTTGCATGGGAATTATGTCCTTTTGTAGTAAAAGAACGTGTCTGGATCTAGAGAAGGAACAGAGCAAGCACTGCTAGGCTGTTGTGTTGCCTCCATCTCTGAATAGCGGTCATGTCACTCTAGTAGAGTTTGTAGAGGTAATGAAGGTAGGGCTGTGCTGGCTTTTCTTAGAACAGTTATGCTTTTTGCAATTGGAGATACTGTGTGAGCATATTATATCTTCTGATGGAAAAATAAGTATTTAAAAGTGATTACACACACTGTATGTTGTGTCTTTGCTTGGATTCTCTGTCACCATTTCGACGAAGCTGTGATTTTACAGAGTTGCTTAAAAGCATTGCTGCTGAACAGAGCGTTCCTGATCCAAGTCACAGTACTGGCTGCCTCTTTAGAACTGGTATTTATGTTTAGAGTTAATAATTCGATCTTGTTGAGAATGAGCAATTGGATTAATATGCTGCCCTGATGCTATTCTTTTGTGCTTGCACTGCTGCTGTGAGGAAGAATGCAGATGAGGGAGGGTGAAGGATTGCAGTGTCACTGTACTTCTGTGGTACTGGTCTTAAAATTGCCAATCTCACAGTATGATTTTTATGACTGGCTTGAGCTGCACATTTGAGTAGAGACCCTATTAACAGCTTTTGTTGTTGTGTTTTCCTCTTCCCTTAGTTTTGTGTGCCTTATCTAGATTTCTAGCCTTCTTCCTTTTCCAGAGGGGCCTTATCTTAAACGGGTTTTTTTACCCTTCTTTGAAATCAGCAACATAACTTCCTGCACAGAGTAGCTAGAGACTACCACTTAGGTTTAAGGCTTTTTCTGTTTTGTGTATAGTAAGAGTAATGACTTAAACAGATTCTGGAAATGCTGCTGTTAATAGCTCAGTCTTAATACAGTTTTTTACATATGTAAAACATGGTACTTCCTCACTCTTAGGAATAAATGTCTTTATTTTTCAAGTGATAATGAAAGCAACACACCACAATACGTGGATGTCAAGGTCAGAACTTTCATGGAGTGGGTGTTATAGATCTCACAATATTTTGTTTATCAGTTTTAGGGGAAAAACCTCACTTAAGAGGTAACAAAACAAGGTTATAAAACTGACATTTCTGTGGCATTACAATTTCTTGTTATAGATGCTTTTTTGCTCATGATTCATCTCAAGTGAATATAGACAACTATATTTGCCCATGCAAAGCATATACTGGGTTTAGGTGAGATCATTCCTCTTGGTTGTCTTTAAATACAACTTGCTTTATCTAGACATCTTGTGATAGCCATCTCATAATCTGGGATGATTGCATTTCACTTGATAAGTGACTTACTACGAGTCAAGTAAGGACCAGATCTGGTTTGTGAACTCCCTCAGCAAGATGCTGGATTTAATTCCTTCATAATGTTACTGCAAGGTCCTGCTAAGCTCAGTGTTCTGACATCCTCTCTTTCTGCCCTTTAAAACACAAATATGGGGCCTTTGTCTTCTGGCTTTTTGTAACTAAGCTTTCATTGCTTACCTAAATATTTCCACTCATTCTACCAACCATATCAGGACCCACTGCTGAGTTTTCTAAGTGCCTCTAGGAATTTTTCATTAAGGTTCTTATTTAGATTTTTTTCTCAAGTGAGCTTTTTTCCTTAAAATCAATTGACTTTGGAATGCTTTCTTTAACAGCAACTTACAAAGAATGCAATGAAGAAATAGGTTCTGAAAGAGGTAAGTAGCTTCTTCACAAATAACATGCAATTTTAATTCGCTGTTAACTCAAGGAACATTCTCTTCCTTAAGTTGCTGGAAGTAATTGGGTAAAAAAGAAGGCAGTGGTATGGGTAAATGCGTAACCATCTCAAAACTGTTCATGCAACATGAGTTGCCAAGCAAATACTGTTAAACTTCGTATGTTTAAACTTTGTTCATCTTTAAATTGCTGGACAACAGTGGTTGTTGCCACCTAAATAAAGACTAACTTTTTGGAATGGAGTGCTGTAGAATTCCTCTGTTGCTGGCTGTTTCTTCTTTCTAATGGTAAAGCTTATCTACTTGAGACACAAGTGTTAGAGAACTTAATTGGCAAAGTGAGGGCATCTGAGTGATGATAGTCATTAAAGCAAACCACAAAGGAACAGTAGATTGTCAGTTTCAGATGCAGTTTCAAATAGCATCTGGGATGCTATTTCTAGAAAACAGGCTTGATGTGTTTTACTGAGTGCAAGTTAATAAATAGAATTTTGTGATTTGTATGTGCAGGAGATCAGGTTGAAATGCATGATGAATAATGACTTTCTGACATGTTGAAAGTGTCAATTGGGACAACCTATTAGAATGTTTACTTACATGCAGTGTTTTTTGCAAATGACTTTAGCCTTATTTTGCCTTTCTCTTACTCTTGAAATGCAAAAAGGCAAATAGTAAACTCCTGACTTTTGTATGAATAATTTTGGTTCCTGATCCTTCCTCATTTGAGGTTCCTGTGAAATGGCTTTACTACTGCTAACCTTTCAGTGAGCATCAAATAATTAATTTTATACCTCTGAGTTTATTAGCTTGAAAAATACTTTAAGGAATACAGAACTATAAATGTACTGCCATGAACAGATTAGTTTTATCCTTGTGTATTAATAAATGCATTGTATTGAATAGGATAATTTATAGTGTAGTGAGGTTTTGTGGTAAATTGGTTTTTGCATGGTGGTAAAGTAGAGCCTGATTTAATTTTTCTGAGTAGCTCTTCAAAGTAAGGTCCTTGAGCAAATGTGAAACAAGAATGCTTTACAAAAGTCTGACTTTATTTGTAAGTGAGTTTTAGGTCTAATAGTATAAAACTAAGTTCTAATACAATTCATTTATGAAATTTCCTGCCTTCCTGGAACGCGGAGAGAAGTCTGAATGACATCTCACTGAACTTAACTTCAGTATCTCCATACTTAAAATAGCTTTCATTTAAGTTTTCTTTATTTTCATGAGTGGTTCACTTTATATTGTTCACTCTAGTGGTTGTGTTCTTAAGGTCCAAAGGTGACTTATGTGCCCCCTCCTCCACCTGATGATGAACAAGCCATCTTTGCACGTTATCAAACAGGAATTAATTTTGACAAGTATGATGAAAATGTTGTCGAAGTGTCAGGACTTGACCCTCCAGCACCATTACTGGTTAGTGAACTCATTCATCTAATGGTTTATGTTGAGCATGATTCTGCAAGGATGTATACTGAGTCTAATATTCACTGCTAATGAAAGTATTAATAAAGATTTTAAATCTTGCAGACGGTACTATGTTGGAAGGAGATGCTCCCCATTTGAAAGATATAAATCTGAACTTAAAATTACATTGACAAATTACAGAAATGGCCCAGAGAAGGTAATACTGGATGGACAGGAAATACAGTCCTTAAATTGCAGAAAAATACCGGTTTAGATCTTTAAAGAGGTCTTTGCAGCAGTTTCTGGGAAGGCTGGTAGAGTCGTTGTGTTGAAGTCTGTTACTGGGGGATCTTTAACGATGTAAATGAACACCTGTCAGAAAAATTTTCAGTTGGTCCAAGAGGTGTTTTCTGAAGTAATTTCTAGCCCTGTTTCCTGTGGCTGCTGTTTATTATTTAAAAGTAATATATAACTTTGCTTCTACTCCATACCAGGTGGCTAGTGTTTAAAAAAAAAAACCTCTTTTTAGGGGAGAAGAATGAGGAAGAAGGGTGGAGGGGGTAGTAGCACCTCTGTTGAAAGAGAAGATGCAGAGTTTTTTTCCCCATCCATCTTCTGAAAGGTTTTCTCACTGACGTTAAACTCATCTTGTCATGTATGGTGCTTTTTGGTTCTGGATAGGGATGTTGCTTTAGCTCCCCTTACTAGTTTTAGCACAGGGACTAAGTGTGTATCTCGTATGTGAAATGAAACTCAAGAGTTTTAGTTTGTTTTCATAGCATGCCATGATGTGAGTTCACCTGCTTGAATACAGATGTATGGCTTCTGAGCAGTTTTCTCTCAAAGCTAATAAGACCAGCTGAAGGCCTTCACTGTCCTACAAACAACTGTACTTGAATGGCATTAGCAGGTTGAAGAAACCTTTGGGGCTTTTACCTGTAGGAACCTTGGCAATCTAGATGACTGGTGAGACCCCCTCAAAAGTTAATGCTTTTTAGTGTTTGGATGTCTGTATCCTATGGTAAGCATCTCAGTTTTTAAAATTTAACTTCTGTGGTTAATGATTTTTCCTCTTACAGGCTTTTGAAGAAGCTAACCTCTGTCAGACTTTAAACATGAACATTGCTAAAGCTGGATACTCTAAACTTACTCCAGTGCAAAAGTACAGCATTCCTATTATACTGGCAGGACGGGATTTAATGGCATGTGCCCAGACAGGATCGGGAAAAACTGTAAGCATTTTGTGTAATATTCATACTACTGGACGTGTGTGACCTTCAACTTTTAGGTGGATGCCTCAGTCTTCCACGTGCCAAGTGCTTCACAGCTTGTTGTTCAATGATTTGACTTGCACTGCAATGGCAGGTGTAGTATTAAGCACAAATGATGTTGGGTGGGTTGTCGCATTTTTGGGCTGAATTTCGTTTTAATTTAAGAACTAGTGTCTTGATACAGCAGCCCAGTCTTCAGGACTACAGATACAGATTCAGAAGTATAGGCAGTCACAGAAACTGCTGATGAGAAAAAACCTCAGCAGTTGAAAGTTAGGGTTTCTTTCTGTGTTGAGGGTATTGTCTTGGGGTTTTTTTTTTGTGTTGGTATGTGTGTTTTGTTTTGTGTGGTTTTTACTTTTGTTTTTGTTTTTGTTTTTTAAACTTACACCAGATTGTAACAGTGTGGTGTGCTGGTTTGTCACCCTTAGTTGGATCAAGTCTGATCTGCATCAGGCTCAGGTGATTCAGTATTAATCATGGAACAGTGTTGAGAGTTGATATTAAGTTGACAGTTGTCTCAACTTGTTAAACTGTCTGATGTACCCAAATCTAACTACTAATAGCTCTGTATGAGAATATTTGGATATTTACAGCTTTTTGTTGTTCAGTATAGTGTGGAATTCTAGCTTTGTTGTTACATAGCTTATTAGTTACTTGTTTTGAAAAACCTCTTCTGTTTGCAGGGGGGGAAATATCCAAAGCTTATGCTAAAAGTATTCTGAATGCTTTTGGGACTGCTGTACAGATTTTATTTTGGGGGTAACTAGTCTTATGAAGTAGGGGTGCTCGTGCAGCTGTATTGCAAACTGATCTGCTTTGTAGTAGTCTGGAGTATGGTGATACATGGTTACCTTACAAATCTACTGAAGCTAATAATGCAAAGCTTGTAACTAAATGTTAAGGAGGGGTTTTGATCCTGGGGTACATAATTATCAATGTATGTCAGCATGATGTGTGAAACTGCCTGGAGAACCCAGAAGTTAGCTAGTGCATGACAGTGTTCCTGCATTATTAGGCTTTTAAGGTCCAGAGAGATATTTTCATGCTTCTTAAACGAGGAGAAATAAGCTTAAATATTCTGTGGTGCGTTCAGGTTAATCCTTTTGCAGTCTGATTTCCTTGAAGTTGATAGTGTGCTGTATCATTGTAGCTTTAAGATTGATACATAGCTTCTAGTGTGACTGATGAAAGCTTTAAGGCTAAACAGCATAAATACTGATGCTTTTTTTAGGCAGCTTTTCTTCTACCAATTGTGGCCCACATGATGAGAGATGGCGTAACTGCCAGTAGTTTTAAAGAGCAGCAAGAACCGGAATGTATTATTGTTGCCCCAACTAGAGAACTGATAAATCAGATCTTCCTAGAAGCAAGGAAATTTGTGTATGGGTAAGCTTTTGCACTGTTACCTGGTATTGATTATTACTTTGAATGAACAGCGCTTTATTTTTTTCATGAATACTTTCAAAAATTTTTCTGTGCCAATCGAATGACTACAAACACTTGAATTTAGATGGTGATACTGGCTAGCAGGTTTCTTATTATATGGCTGGGGATTTAAACTCCTAATCTTCCTGATATTGGGGGTGGGGGAGGGGAGGTGGGGGCAGGGAGAGGCTTAGTCCAGCTTGAAGAGGAGGTAAGTACTAAACTTGTGTCACATCATCTTTACTGATGAGAAAAATGAAATTTCTTAAATGAAGTAACTTAAATTTAGCTTGCCTTATGTAATTTGTATTGGCTTTTATTTTCGTCTTGACAAAAATAGAGGTATGTGTTAGAGGGTTTTAGTTAACTTTCAGTGATGGTTTCTAATAACTCTGTACTTCCCAGTGTTTATGGTCTTGGACAGAAATTTCACAGTTCAAGTAACTCATTTAGCTCTGCTTCTTCAAAACAGAACAAAAGGTCTAAACTTGTCATTGAGCTCTTGGATGTTGCGTGAGAGTACATTTGTACTAGTTTGCCAGTCATCTTTCTGCTGCTAAGTGGTACGTTTCACCAGTGCACAGGAAGAGAATTAAATCTATTGTCTGTAATGGCTTGTTACTGTTAGGAGGTGGAATGGAGAACATCGTCAGTGCAAAATCTGGTGGGCTAAATTAAATTAGACTTGCCTTGTTCAAGTAAACTTATGCTTGGAGGCTGTCTCTGCCTTTGGGAAGTACCATCATGTTTGCATATTCCTTACTAAGCATGTTACTAAGAATAGCTTCTTAATCTCTAAAACTGTTCTGACTATGTAGCTAGTTCTATTAAGTATGCTATTTTAAACTAGGTACAGATTATTTCACAATAAAATAGCTTTCGAATTTAGAAAGATTCTGCTCCAGCTGCCCTGCAGTAAAAGCAAGATAACCTACATTTTGGGGGCAGTTATCAGGGTGTGAATCTGTTGCCGCTAAAGAATTGCATGCATATTGCTCAGTTCAGATTTATGATATTCTTAAGCTCTGTGGTTTAGTTCACAAATAGGAATATGAAATATGTATATTAATAGATAGTGGATAAATGTTGAAATGTTAGGAGTCCAACCTGTTTCTATTCTTGACTAAAGCTTTCTGAAAAGTTCCAATTAAACATGATAAAAATTTATCAGGTTTATCTGATTCATGGTTGCTGCATATGAAGCTGAATCAGTATCTTCAAGAATAGACAGTTTTAATTTGGGCATGAAAATATGCATTTTATGCATGTAAAAGCCTTAGCAGGAGGTTATAAAGATAAGCTTGTAAACTTCCTCTTAAGCTGCGTAAGGTAGTTCTTGCTCATAGAGGTGGTTTTCTACAAGAGGAGAATACCTGATGTAGCTCTAGTCAGTAGATCTAACCAAAAATCTAGTAGGAAGAGCACTAAGTAGTTTAGCGTTTGAATGGGTTTGCAGTCTAATGCTTGAGTGGCACACTGCATGGCCAGTGTGATTAGTTGCTTTACAAAGATCCACCTGTGTTTTTTTTTTTTTGCCCTGTCCTTTCAAGGTGTGGAAAGATTACTTCTGAAGCTCTAAAGGCGTATATTTGGTGGTTCTGCTTTTCTAAGTATGCTGTATAAAAGGGGACAATGTCTAACACCATTTTGGCTCTTACTGCCAGTAACTCTCAGTTGAAGGGAGAGGGGAGAATGCAGGTGAAATGAAGTGTTCTTTCCAAGTAAGCCACCTGTGCAGGCCTCTATTATGTAGTATGAATAGGAACTTTGAGCTTATGGTAAGTGAGTTTCTGGTATTGGGTCCTGCTTTTGGTTATAAGCTGTGCTGTATGGTGAAGGAATCGAACCACTCTAAGCGGAGATCGGTCACAAGTGGTGTCCCTCAGGGGTCCATGTTGGGACCGGTACTGTTTAACATCTTCATCAGTGACATAGACAGTGGGATCGAGTGCACCTGCAGCAAGTTTGCAGATGACACCAAGCTGAGTGGTGCGGTTGACATGCCTGAGGGACGAGATGCCATCCAGAGGGACCTGAACAAGCTTGAGAAGTGGGCCTGTGTGAACCTCATGAGGTTCACAAGGCCAAGTGCAAGGTCCTGCACATGGGTTGGGGCAACCCCTGGTATCAATACAGGCTGGGGGATGAAGGGATTGAGAGCAGCCCTGTCAAGAAGGACTTGGGCGTACGGGTGAACTAAAAGCTGGACATGAGCTGGCAATGTGCGCTCGCAGCCCAGAAGGCCAACCGTATCCTGGGCTGCATCAAAAGAAGCGTGGCCAGCAGGTCGAGGGAGATGATTCTGCCCCTCTGCTCTGCTCTGATGAGACCCCACCTGGAGTACTGCATCCAGCTCTGGAGTCTTCAGCTCAAGAAAGACATGGACCTGTTGGAGCGGGTCCAGAGGACGGCCACGAAAATGATCAGGGGGGTGGAACACCTCTCCTATGAAGAAAGGCTGAGAGAGTTGGGGTTGTTCAGCCTGG